CGTGCTGAAGATTCAGAGAGAGACAGTTTCAGGGGGCGGTTAACCCCTGGGAGTGTGTGACCAGAGAGAAGGACTTTTGCAGTAACAGAGTCCCCCCGGGGGATTGCAGTGAGTGGTCCCAGGGGCGGAGGAGTCTGCAGCTCGACCCTGGCAAAGAGGTGGTGACCTCAAGAAGGACTGGCACATGAGGGGTTTTTCCTGGAAACCGTAGAAAGCTGCCCAGGCCTGCGAGTGGCCAGCAGGGAGATGTACGCTAAACGCCTTAAGAAAGACCTGGTGGAGCTGTGCAGGCAGAGGGGGCTGCGCGTTGGGAGGTCCACCAAGGAACAGCTGATTGCCCAGTTGGAGGAGAGGGATCGCTTGGATGACCCGATCCCTGTCCCTGAGGGAAGCCGCCCGGCGAACGCAGCATGGGCCCTGGGGCCTGACCGGGCTGGGAGGGGTCAGACTGCTGCCGAGGACATCCCGAGACCCTTCCTACCTATTCCTGGGGGAGGGCTTGGGGGAAGCCCAGCGAATACCGAGGGCACCCTGACCCCGGCAGCCAGCAGGGGATCCTCCCAGCGGAGCTCCCCATCCCTGGAGTGAATGCGGCTGGAATGGGAGAGGGAGATGAAAATGAGGGAGCTGGAGGATCATGAAAAACAACGTCAACATGAGCAGGAGGAGAAGAAGCGGGAATGTCAGGAGAAGGAGCGGGAACATCAGGAGAAGGAGAGGGAACGTCAGGAGAAGGAGCGGGAACATCAGGAGAAGGAGAGGGAACGTCAGGAGAAGGACGAATCTGGCCAGGGAGAATCTGGCCAGAACCCAGAAGAAGCAGAAGGTCTGGTATGACCGTACGGCGCAGTCCCGTGCCTACGCCACCGGGGATCGGGTGATGGCTCTCATCCCTGTGAGAAAGAACAAACTACAGGCTGCCTGGGAAGGCCCTTTCAAGGTTGTCAAGCAGCTCAATAAGGTAAACTATGTGGTGGAGCTGTCTAACCGGGCGCACCACCACCGGGTGTACCATGTGAATATGATGAAGCCATATTATACCAGGGGGAATGTGGTGTTGGCCGTGTGTGGACAGTGGGAGGAGCAGGGAGATGACCCTTTAGTAGATCTATTCCCTGGGACCAGAGCAGGTTCCCCCCTGGAAACAATTCCCCTCTCGGATCAGCTAACCCCTGCCCAGCAAGCTGAGGTCAGGGGGTGCTGCATCAGTACCGACAGCTATTTTCCAACCAGCCTGGACGCACTAATCTGGCTGTCCACCAGGTGCAGACAGGGTCGCACCCGCCGATAAGATGCTCCCCCTTCCGAGTCACAGGGAAAACTGCTCAGGACCTGGAAAGAGAGGTCCGGGACATGCTGGCTTTGGGGGTGATCCAGGCATCTGCCAGCCCTTGGGCCTCGCCGGTGGTGCTGGTGCCCCAAAAGGACGGGTCGGTCCGGTTCTGTGTGGACTATCAGAAGCTCAATGCCATCACTATATCTGATACCTACCCCATGCCCAGGCCTGACGAGCTCCTAGACAAGTTGGGAGGAGCTCGGTACCTTACCACCAGGGACCTTACACAGGGCTACTGGCAAGTGCCGCTGGATTCAGATGCCCGGCTGAAATCGGCCTTTATCACCCCTCTGGGGCTCTATGAGTTCCTGACCCTGCCTTTCGGCCTCAAGGGAGTGCCGGCCACCTTCCAGCGCCTGGTGGACAAGCTACTGAGGGGGATGGAGAGTTTTGCCGTGGCGTATATTGATTACATCTGTGTCTTTAGCCAGACCTGGGAGGATCATGTGTCCCAGGTTTGCTGGACTGACTCAGGGGGCTGGGCTGACTGTAAAAGCGGAGAAGTGCAAGGTGGGGATGGCTGAAGTATCTTACCTGGGCCATCGGGTGGGGAGCGGCCGCCTAAAGCTGGAACCAGCCAAGGTGGAGGTGATCAGAGACTGGCCCGCTCCCCACACCAAAAAGCAGGTCCAAGCCTTTATTGGGATGGCAGGATACTACCGAAGATTTGTGCCCCACTTTAGCACCATAGCCACCCCCATCACTGAGCTATGCAAGAAGGGGAAGCCAGACAAGGTGGTCTGGACCAAGCAGTGCCCGGAGGCTTTCCGGGCGCTGAAGGAGGCTCTGGTCAGTGACCCAGTTCTGGCAAACCCAGACTTTGACAAGCCCTTTGTGGTGTTCACCAACGCCTCAGACATGGGACTGGGGATGGTGTTAATGCAGGAGGATGAAAAGGGGGAGAGACACCCCATCGTGTACCTGAGGAAGAAGTTGCTACCCCGGAGCAACACTACGCAGCCATCGAGAAGGAATGCCTGGCCATGGTGTGGGCCCTCAAGAAACTAGAGCCCTATCTCTTTGGGCGACACTTCACCGTGTACACCGACCACTCTCCCCTGACCTGGCTGCACCAGATGAAAGGAGCCAACACCAAACTCCTGAGGTGGAGCCTGCTCCTGCAGGATTATGACATGGATGTGGTCCACGTGAAGGGAAGTGCCAACATGATAGCGGATGCGCTGTCCCGGAGAGGGGGCCAGGAACTTCCCCAGGTCACTGGTCACTGGTCACTGGTCAGTTCAGTCTCGAAGGGGGGAGAGATGTAACGATGTGACGCAGCAGGGAGAGGGGAGTGTTGACCTGGGAATGTGCCCTGGGGATGGGAGACCTGAGAGCCTGTCACCTGAGCCAGGAGGGGGAGGGAGATGTGACACCCTGGGGGCTGCCCGGGAATGTGAACAGAGGCTGCAGGAGAGAGCCTGCTGGGGGGGGGTTTAGTTTTCAGTTTGGTGCTGGGTGGAGGAATGCAGGGAACCCCAGGGCTGGGGTCTAAGCTCCCTGCTCCCCCAGAAGGACTTGACTGAGGGGTCCTGGTTGTACCCACAAGCTCTGTTTTGGACTGTGTTCCTGTTGTCCAATAAACATTCTGTTTTACTGGCTGGCTGAGGGTCTCAGTGAATCCCAGGAAGAGGGATGCAGGGCCTGGAGTCCCCCACACTCTGTGACAATGGACAAATGTTTGGAGTGAAACAAGGCTGGAATTAAGATTTAGTTTGACAGTATCAGCAGCATTTTGCACAGGGCAGTTGAAAAGCAGCTGGAAACCGAGTAGGATGCCCATGGAATGATGGGATTGAGAAACTTGCATCATGTGACACTGAACCTGCCCTGACGAGGCACTGCAAACCCTTCCCCAAACACCCTGTAGCAGGTTGCACAGTGGGATAACTACCCACTGTGCGCTGTTCTCTGTGTTGATGCAAGAGCTGCTCCTGTGGATGTGCTCCACTGACACAAGGAACATAGTGTGGACATGAAACAGTGATATAATTACAGTGGTGATTGTACATCAACATAACTTAAATCAAATTAACTTTGTAGCATAGACATGGCCTTAGGTGTCATACTCACAGTGATTGCAATAGAAGTTAGGTGCCTAAGGAATTCTGAGGATCTGGGCCACAGTTTGTAAATAAGACATGGAGCAGAAAGGAAAACCAGGACGCTGGTATTATGATGCAGAATGACTTTAATGTGAAAAAGAAGAGAAGTACACAGGAAGAGACAGAAAGAATGCAAAGTACATTTGAGAGGATATATTTCCAGGGTTTCAAGAAGGTCTACAATGAATCACTGGTTCAAAGGTGATGCATTTCACACTAGATGTTCTTCTTTCTTCATTACAGTTGTTGAGTTTGACAATCAAGTCCTGTTTGCAACTATTTTAGGGTACTTGTTAGGTACTAGGGGGGCTAGTGCTAAATGGAAGGCAGAAATTTGGGGAGGGTATGTGATCCCGCATCCCCCCTCCTTACCCCACGTCACTTCTGGTTGCAGGCATGTTTGTGGACTCTCTTGATTATACTGGTGGACCTCTAAGGTTCCTGGCCAATGGGAGTTGCGGAGGGGGCACTTGGGGCACGGGCAGCACGCGGAGACCCCTGCCCCTCGCGGGGGCTGCAGGGACATGCTGGCCACTTTCGGGAGCAGCATGGGGCCAGGGCAGGTAGGGAGCCTGCCTTAGCCCTGCTGCGCTGCTGGATTTCTAGCAGCCTAAAATCTCCCGGATTGGCTTTAGTAGTCTCTGGGAGATAAAGCCCAATTTTGGGAGACTCCCAGCAAAAGCAGGAGGGTTGCAAACCTAAGAAAGGTATTTAGGCTCCTAACTTCCACTGATTTCAATGGGCCTAAATGAGCTAATGTGTCCTTTTGACACAAAAAGTAAAGGTTTGAAGCATGTTATAAAAACTAAAATGGTGCCTTACCTGAATTTCTTATTATAAATCTCTCAGCAGCTGAGAAACTGCAAATAAAATGTCAATGACATAACTGTGAGAAGTGTTTTTATGGAACGCCCCATTATGGGGCATGGTGGCATATGACCAGGCCAGCGCAGATCTACTTGACTCCACCTCTTGCAAATCATATCAAAGCACAGCCCTACGCCTACAGCACTGAGGGCATTTTGGGTCCCTATCAGCACACCCCTTACACAAACACAAACAAATGCACGGTGCTTGTTAAAGGGGCGTACTCACTGGGACGGTGAGCAAAGTTTCCAAGACCTCTGAAGCGTCATCGCCCAACTGCTGACAGATTTAATGAAGAAACTCAGATAAGGCACCATTTTTCCTTTCTTATGTGCTTAAAACCTTTGCCTTGTGTGTCAAGAGGCCTCCTTAGCTGATGCTCTTGAGCCCCCAAAGTTTTGACTGGGTGCCACATTCCCTAGCCATTTGCGTGACCAGTTTCTATCATCGGCACCTCTTGTTTACCCTTAAATATTTCTACTTGCAACTTAGCTGTGATTTGGCCCTATGCACCCTGACATTGGAATTATTCGGAGTCTCCTGATTAGGTTTTGGCGTCTCAAACAACAGCTGAGTCCAAGAGCTGTCCTCATGATCACATTCATTATCCATTACCATGGTTGTGTGGCTCTCATTACATGGTTCTGGGGTCTCAGACATCGGTTGCAACAACCATATAGTTGTGTATTGGGTTTTCACAACCTTGCCCATGTAACATCTCTTCGTGAGCCACTTGTCTACAGAGTGGTGACAAGGAAAGATTGAAGGGTCTTTTCAGCAGCTCCATCTTTACTCAGCAGGCCTTTTCAATGGCACATCCTTATTCATACCCTGGTCATTGTCTTAGCCAATCGTTTAGGGGCAGCACATCAAAACCCTTTTGGTATCAGGATTTATTTATCATAAACCATGTTGACTGGCATTTATAATATTACCCTCCAGTGACCAGTCCTCTTCATTATTTACCCCTCCGCCGTCAACTGCAAACTTCATCAGTAATGATTTTCTGTTTTCTGTGAGGTCACCGATAAAATGTTAACTAGCAGAGGACTACTAGTCAGGACTATTCAGCAATGTTGATGAAAATTATAGACAGAAACAAGCAAATTCAGTAAAAATGTCTGCATGGTTTTTAATGTGGGGGTCTGGGGAACTGGGAGAGAAACACAGTGCAAAGGGTGAGCGACTTCTCTGAGGGCTGATTAATGCTTCTGTGGCCGAAAGCAAGTCTGTGCTGGGATCCTGACCCACAGTGACTCTCACAGTCACCCAGCAGTCCCCGGGGCAATGGAAGCTGCCAGCCCCCTGAGAAATTCTCCAGAAGAAAAGAGAATGTGGGTCAAGCAAACCCTGTGAGCTTTCTTCCATGCCAGCGACGAAGAGAAAGGAGGGCTGCTCTCCCAAAAGGACATGCCTCTGCTCTGTACACAGTGTCAATTCCTAGACAGGGGCCGCGGCAGGCTCCGAGGCATCCAACAGCAATTTCGTTCTTTGCTTCCCTAAGGAAGGAGGAAACAAATGTCATTCCCAGAAGTTGCAGAGCTTTCGGGAAGGGGTGTGTGTTAAATATATTTGTTCTCCTCCCAGTGACTATTCACACACACACACGCACACACACACACACCCGAGGGGCAAGCACACCTTTGCATTTCTGTAGCACCTCACCAAGCCTCACAGGCTAAAGACGTGCACTGCTGGTGACATGTGGCAGTGTCTGGGGAGCTGGGAGGCAGCAGACACCCAGCGCAGCAGAGCGTCAAGATCACAGGGAAAACTCCAACAATAGCAGAGTCATGGGACGCACAATGTCTATGCAGATAGGACAGGTTTTAAGGTCACAGGCAAAAGACCCAACCGTCATGGGACTCGGCTCATTTACCTAACTGGCTGAGCTGCCCCTGCGGGGCTCACAACTGAGCTAATGGAGATTCAATCAGACAGCACTGGCATTCTCTCTGTGCTCCCTTTTGGCTTCAGCAAGGGAGTCAGCAGCCCCAGCAGACAAACAGCCCTTGTAGCTTTGTTCCAGCCGCGAGTTGAGTTGTCATAGGGAACCAGCAGGAATGTCTCCAAATGGCCATTCCACCACAGCTACAGGTCATTGTCTGAAGGCGGCTGGAAGCCACCCCTGCAGCTCTCTCACAGGGACTATGGTGCAGCCAGTCCCTGCCTTCCAGTGGAGCCACTGGGTGGGACTGGCCTGGCAGTCTAATGCCAGCGCCTTATGGGGAGGAGGTTTGGGGCCATGGCTTGGCACTTGGCCGGACAGGCTGGGAAGGCTGTGGAGGCCACAATCCAGTCTGGTGGTAGAAGGCCCTTCATGCTGGCTTTGTGGCATCAGACTCCACCTGAGCGAAGAGGGGAAGCTCCCTGTGCACAGAACTATGAAAATCAGATTTCCTGTTTGTGTCACAACCCCTGAGCTGCTGGAGGGTGGGGGTGGGAAGTTCCCACTTTTATTTCCTAAGGGGGAGATTTCCAAATGCACCGAAGGCTAATGGGGACTGAGCACCGAGCTTTCATGTTGTCTCTGGAAACCTGCCCCCACTGGCAGCAGCTGGTTTCTATGTGGGAGACAAGGACAGAGCAGCACTGTGACACCCTGCACCTCCCTCCCTTCCTATCCATCTGCCTGGGGATTTGCACCATGCCCATCCCCGTGGTATCAGAGTGCCCATCCCCCTGCATTCTCCTGGCATTGCGTCCCTCTCCTGCAGGTGTATACAGCTCACAAGAGGGCTCTTCAGTACTTGGCAGAGCAAAGCCAGGGAACAGTGATTCTTGTGATAGACAGCTCCTACCTGAGCGCTTCCGAGAGAGAAGGAGCCCGAAGACAACCACTGCCAGGACCAGGACAGAGAGGGGCAGAGCAATGAGCAGGATGTTTCTATAGTCGTACACGGCATCTTCCGCACCTGAGCAGGGAAGAGGAAGATGTCATGAGTGCCGTGGGCTCTTCTGGGCAGGGAACCCCAGCCAAGTACGCACAGGCTCTGTAGCTGTGCTGGCGCCAGGCATTGGGAAGAGGAATTCCAGCCACCTGCTGCACCATGAAAGCTTCTCACACTCCATGAGCCAACAGACCATGACAGAGTGGCGGAGGATAGTCACAGGGAAATTCAGACTGCCCAGAACTTTAGCCTGTCTACTCTTTAGCCTGCATTCCCAGCCCCCCCGGTGCTGATCCACAGCCTTCCTGCTGTTCTGCCAGGAAAGTCACAGAACCCGGCTAAAAGCAGCTGCAGGAAAAGCCAGAGGAAAAGCATTCTCCAAACACCCCCGCTGCCCTCCACCTCCGGACGGTGCCAAGAGTGAGCTGAGGCAGCAGGAAATGCGGGGGAAGCTGAAGTTCCTCTGCAATCCAGAGCGGGGAGGATTTCTTGCAGCTTCTTTAGATTTGTGGAATTTCCTCGCCCTTCCATGGATCTTCTTGTCCTGTGTTTGCAACAGTCCAGGCCAAAGTCTACTCTCAGCTACACTGGTGAAAATGCAGAGTGAGGCCAATGACTGCATTGGAGTGACTCTGGATTGACAACCATGTAAATGAGAGCACAGTGTGGCCATTACTCGTGCATTCCCTTGTATCAGCTGTGGCACTGAGGGGCTGAGTGACCTGGGCTGCCAACTCCCAACCTTTAAACTCAGCCATTGTGCAGGTAACCGAGAGCCCTCCTCCAGTGCTGCAGATGCTTCCACAGCTTGAACCCATGTGGGGGTCTGACCAGGGCTTGGATCATTCAGAACACCCTGGATATGCCTGTAGTTTTAGACTCTCTGGGTGATAATCCTCAGTGAAGATTCACCAGGGACCGTGAATCCCTCTCCACCTCATCCACCTTCACATGGTAGCAAATCTGCTATCAAAAGTAAATGCCCTCCCACAAAATCCATCTCCCAGGCACTGTCTTGTGGCTGCAGACAGCTGGGCCATTGGCTCATGCCAAGTGGCTAGGCACTGGGCTGGGCATGGGAGATGGGTGAAACATGACATACCTGTTTCCCTCTGGCAGTGTTCCCAGGGTGCGATGGTAGCTGATTCCCAACTGACAGCATTGGCTGCAGTACAGGTATAGGATACCTGCCTATCCGAGGGGCCCAGCTTAGCCCATAGGACCAGGCCAGCCTCAAAGAGAGAGTGATTGTCCATGCTCAGCACCTTGCCATCCGTCCTGCCCCAGCTGTAGGTTACGTTGGTGCCACTGGCCGCCACACAGGTCAGGAACACCTCGCAGACCCTCGCAGAGCCACTGCGGCTGCTCTCTGATGTGAACACCTGCAGTGTCAGCTGGGAAACCACTTCTGGACACAGAGCAGACAGGACAGCAGAGGGGTCAAAGCCAGTAATCTCCCCCTGGATGGATACTCAAACCCCACCTCCCTGCGGGACCACCCGCTGCACCAGCACACCTGGTATTAGTGCATGAATACATCCATTTGCACTCACTCACCAGATCTACCCCTAGAAATATCGGGCTCTGTCTGGGGGTTTGGTGCTGCTCTCCCACTGGGCAGGGCTTTCAAACTTCAGTCCTAGTAGCCCCAAGTGTATGTGTGTGTGTGGGGAGGGGGGGTGTAGAAGGCTGTGACAGCCTGTGTGGCCAACTTCATCTATTGCCGATCTCACAGGGTCCCTCGTCATCCAGAGCCAAAGGGCTGTGGTGCCAGCCTGGTAGTTGCTTTGTAAGAGCAGAAATAAAGGCAAGGGGGAAGTCACAGCCCCAAGTTCCCTACGTGCTGCCTTGTGCCTGTGACAGCATTTCCTGGTTAGCAGAAGGGCAGTGCTCCCCTGTCCCTGCCCTCTGGGACATGTCCATTGGGTGCCCAGAATGAGGGCGATGGGACACGCAGTCACCTCCCAGGGCAGGCTGGCTCTGGATGCCCAGCTGACGTGCCCCGTGATGGCAACGGCGCTCGCCTTCCATAGTAATGCAGGGAGTGGAGGGCGGACTAGACGATCCCTTCTGGCCTTGTAACCTGGGGAGTCGCCGAGTTATACCCTCTGCAGCAGAGGCTGGACCAGGCCTCACACCACAGGCTAATCCCCTTCGCCAGCCCAGCAGGACATTTGCCCCCAGAGCTTCGTATTAGAACATAAAATACCCAAGGAGTCTGGGTAGGGTGGGTGCCCTGTCCCGGGACTGCCTGCCTGGGAGCTCAGCACAGCTGCCCCAGCTCCCTCAGGGGGCCTCTGTCAGAGTCAGCTGCTGGGCCTGGCAGCCTGCGGGGACAGGGCTGGTGCCAGGCAGCGGGTTGTTCCCTGCTGGTTCAGGTGAGACTGTTAGTCTCTAAGGTGTCACAAGTCCTTCTTTTCTTTTTGCGGATACAGACTAACACGGCTGATACTCTGAAAACTGCACAGAGTGTTCGTCCATGGAGAATTTGGCCTAGCTCCAAACACATCACCCTCCTGCGCTTAAGTGGCAAGGAAACAGGAGCCCAACCCGGCGTACCGTAGACTGCCAGGTGCAGCATGCGCGTCTCCGTCTGTCCTCGTGTGTTCACCAGCAGGGCTGAGAAGGTGCCGCTATCTCCCAGTTCCACCTGACTGATCTCCAGGGTGAGGTTACTGTGGAGCCGGCTCCGCCCATAGAAACGGGATTGGTACAGGGTCTCCGCTGAGCCCCTGAAGTAGGTGGCCACTAGCTCTTCTGCCGGCGCTAGGTACCTCCAGATGGCATCCCTGACTTGGAACCCCAGGGGGATGTCGGCTCCCAGCAACACTGCTCTCCCCACCACTCCTGTCACCTTCACGGTGGCACGGGCTGTGGCCGGTGGGGCTGGAACGAGGCAACAGGCAGATGCCTTCATGTTAGGGTCATGGGAGGAGCTGGGATAGAAGCAGCATATCTGAGGCCACAGTGGTTCTCCTCTCCCGACACCCAGGGCAGCCTTCTCCTTGCTCCCCTGGGCATCTTTGGCATCTCCATGGCTGAGTCTGAGGCCAGTACAGAGACCCCACAGCCTCTCCCATCCCTGCCTCTGGTGTCACCTTCCCAAGCTCCCTCTTCCCCTGCCTACAGGCTTCCCATCTGCAGTGCCCTGGGAAGGTGAGGCTGCCAGGACCAAAGGCATCCATGTAACAGGAGTCCTAGGGCCTTTCTCCTGGCAGGCACCCACTGGGAAGCTCACAGATGCCGAGGGGCCTCCAGGCAAAAACAAGACCAGACTTTCCTAAGGCAAAAAGGAACCATCAAACAACAAACTTTGAATCACCCTCCCCCATCCCTGCCTCTAAACCGTCCACCTGTCCCACACCTCTCTGCTCTTTCTCCATCACAAAGAATCTAAAAAGAGCACAAGCCCCATTTAAAAAATCCTGTGCAGGTTGCCAGTTAAGAGCGAATGTTCCAGCAGTTGGAAGCAGCGTGGCCGTTACTATGGTGAGACAGGAACCAACAGAGCAGCCCCTGGCTTGCTCCAGATGCAGCCTGTGATGTAGCAACAAGGAATTATGCTGAAGTCAGATATTTAACTGACATATCCTTCTAAAGTTAAATGCTGCAGATTGAGACTCCCAATAAAAAGAAGGTCCAGGCCCCCACACAAACAGAATTTGACATTTCCACAAGGATAAACTCTCTCCAGAACACTTCCTCACCAGCATCAGCTTCCTGGCCACCACAATCAGCTTCAACAGTGGAACCCTACAGACAACTGTATACAAGACACCCATGGATCACCGCACCTACCTTCACAGATCCAATAACTACCCCAAATACACCAAGAAATCTGTTCTCTACAGCCAAGCCCTCAGATACCACAGGATATGCTCCAAGGAGAAAATCCAGGATACACACCTTAACACACTTAAAACTTCCTTCAACAAAAAAGGACACTCCACCAGAGAAGTAGATCTATTATGGAATGGGCCACCCAAATACCCCAAGAGAACCTGCTTCAATACAGAAATAAAACCCCCTCCAACCACACACCTCTAGTTGTCACCTATCACACCACATGGGAACCCATATGGGGGATCATCAAACTAGTACGACCCATACTCAACGGGTGTCCCATCCTGAAAGAAATTTTTCCTGAGCCCCCTCTTTGGGCCTTGAAGCACCTCCCCCCACCCCACCCCAGCCCCCCCACAGCCTTACCAAGCTCATCATCAGAAACAAGCTCCCCACAGACCAGGACCCACCAACTCAGAGTGACACCAGACCCTGCCAGAACAACAGATGCAAAACCTGCAGACATTGCTCCACTGCTACAATGATCAACACCCCCCACAACACACCTTTAAAGACCCCTTCCATGGGTCCCTACACATGACTATCAAAACAAATGATAGTAGGAGAACACTTCAATCTCCCTGGCCACTCAATAACAGATTTAAAAGTAGCCATACTTCAACAAAAAGCTTCAAAAACAGACTTAAAAGAGAAACTGCTGAGCTACAATTCATTTTCAAACTTAACACCATCAATCTGGGCTTGAATAGGGACTGGGAGTGGCTGGCTTACTAGAAAAGCAATTTTCCCTCTCTTGGTATTGACACCTCCTCATCAATTATTGGGAGTGGACCACATCCCCCCTAACTGAATTGGCCTTCAACACTGGTTCTCCACTTGTAAGGTAACTCCCTTCTCTTCATGTGCCAATATATATTTATGCCTGTATCTGTAATTTTCACTCCATGCATCTGAAGAAGTGGGTTTTTTACCCATGAAAGCTTATGCCCAAATAAACATGTTAGACTTTAAGGGGCCACCAGACTCCTCGTTGTTTTTGTGGATACAGACTAATACAGCTACCCTTCTGATACTTAAAACAAATGGTGTACCTAATCCAGTGCACTAAATGCCTCAGTAACTACTATGTGGGTGAAACAAGACAATCACTACACTCTCCAATGAACTCACCCAGAAAAATGATAGAAGGCAAAAATACTTCACAAAGTGATCACTGCATATCTGATCTCTCAGTCCTCAGCCTCAAAGGAAGCCTGCAAAACACCTTCAAAAGACAAGCCTGGGAACTTCAATTCATAACTTCGCTAGACACTGAAAATCATGAACTCAACAGAGATACTGGATTTGTGACTCATTACAACAATCTGTAACTCACTAGCCCCCTCCCCAGCTTTTTTTTTTTCTTCTCCCCCTATGACTGGAGAGGTGTTAATGGGCCACTTCAGCTTGAATGGTCCCTTGAAATGTGCTAACTACTTATGCTAAACAATCTGTTCCAGGTTGTGTTTAGCTGTGACACTCTGAGTACAGTTCCTAGATCTGAAGAAGAGCTTTGTGTAAACTAGAAAGTTTGTCTCTCTCACCACAGAAATTGGTTTAATAAAAGAGATTACCTCATCCCCTTGTCTCTCTAATATATTTTGTCAGCTTCTTGGGGCAGGGACTGTCCTTTTGTTCTGTGCACAGTGCCTAGCACCAGAGTTCTGGTCCTTGGCTGGGGCTGCTAAGCACTATGGTAATACAAATAATACACAATAAAAATTACAACTAGCCCTGAATCTGTAGCAACCCAGGGAGATCCAAGTGAATCTGCACTGGCATACGTGTTCATGTGGCTCACCCAGCTGCCCTGAGACACTGCTGGCTGCTCCCATGGGTGAAAGGAGCTGCTCCTCTCACTCCCTGATACACACACAGGTCTGACGTGTTCCAGTGATGCTCATATCTGCGGTGAGCCCTGTGGCTGAGTTAGCATCAGGGACTGGCTGAGAGTCAGCTCTCCATCCACTCACTGGTTAAAGGTCAGCCTACAGAGACCGCAGTAAGTAACAGCAGGGTGAGGAGGGGTGAGAACTCTTACCTTTGTGCAGGAACAGAGCCAGCACCAGCCAAGCCACCATCTCGCTAATCCAGAGCCTGCTAGGGTGCTTTTTCTGGAGAAAATGAAAGCTCTTGTTGATGTCTGGCAATGGGATTGCCTGATTTTCCCACAGGAAATCCCCTCTTCTCTGTCATCACTCAAACCCGCAACTCAAAGCAGAAGTGAGAGGCTGTGCTCAGCCTGTACTTCTCAGGAGCAGTTAATGGGCCCAAGACAGAGGCTGGAGATTCTGGTCTCATGCAACACCAGAGCAGTAGCTGGCCCCTCAGAGGAGGCAGGATAGGGCCAGACTGTGCCTTGCAGGTACCAGGCCACATGGAGGCTGCATTGGCTGGGGAGGAGCACAGTACAGGCCAAAATGTTTCCAGAGAAGACGCCAGTGGCCCATGAGTGCACGATTCAAACTGCTAGTGATGAGACCAAAGCACCATGGCAGAGCTAGGACCTTGGTGAACTCTGTCCTATTGAATGGTTCTTCCATGACCCAAATATCTGGGCGCCTTCCAGCCGGGCATTAAGTAACATGATCCTGGCTTCCTAGAGGGAGAACTCTGCATGCCAGGGAGGGGGTGCTTTGGGAGAGATTTCAGGGGAGGGGCTGTTTTTAAAGGTTCTGTTTCTTTCAGAGCAGACCAGGCAGAGCCATACTGCTGGCACTGGGAGCAGGAAGTGGTGAGTCCATAATTCCTGGGGGAGTTTGCTCCACAGTCTGGGAGTGGCCCCTGAGGAAGCCCTGTCTCCAGCACAGATGAGCTTTCCCTGCTGGCGGAGAACTCCATTGGACAGTAAGAACAGTAGGACAATGGAACAGATGCCTCGGGAGGTTGTGGAATCTCCTCCACTGGAGGTTTTCAAAAGGAGGCTGGAGCCATCTGTCTGGGATGGTTTAAACACAACAAATCCTGCATCTTGACTAGATGACCCTTGTAGTCCCTTCTAACCCTATGGTTCTATGGACCTGAGAAGCAGAGCTGTCAATCACAGCCCCCCGGCTGGAGCTTTAGGCTCTTTTAGGTGCCTTGGCCCAGGCCACTGTTATAGAAAAGTGCTTATATGCTATTTTATATAAACGTTGAATAAGTTTGTTCTTATAACTTAGCATAAGTTACTAACTTAGCATCAGCGATTAAAGTAGTTGAAGCCTTAGGCCAAGGTCAGGCTGACCTGAGAGAAATGCTGAAGAAGCAGCTGCAAAACCAGTTGAGACTGCCCGTTATCACTGGAGATAAGGGAGAAATGCAAAAAGAAGAACTAATTGTCTTCAGGAGTACATCTGGTACCCGGCAACGGACTGTCCACTCAGCAACAAAACTGTCCAATAGGAAAGGACAGAGACCCCTACTCAAATTAGGGGATTGGACTTTGAACATGGGCAAGGGCGGTGTTACCAACTGTAAAGGGTATAAATGCTTGCAATTTCTGAGGGGCGGAGTCCCTCTCCTGAGGCACCCAGCTCGAGCTGTATTTCTGTTGACTAATAAAGGATGCTTGTATAAATTGGACTCAGAGTTTAGAAGTTCGTGGGATCCTAGAGTCGAATCTAACACCTAGATTGGTTAGAGACCTGCTAATTCATTTTCCTTTACACCACTGAGCGTCCCAAAAAACAGGGCTGTGACCTTGCACCTGTTCTGGTGAGGCACTACAGGTCCTGAACCGGGGTGCATAGGTCCCCAAACAACCTTTGCCCCCAGCTGCCGCCCCATGGCTTGTTAGCAACTTGTGGGCTGAGTGGCTAATGGAACCCTGGCCCACGAGAGGCACCACCCACATGTGTCCTGATTGGAAAAGCACCCGGCCACACCGATTGGTCCAGCTGCACTATTTAAGCCAGAAGGAGGCACCGAAAGTTGTTTGTGCAAATGGATTAGTTCCTGGCTGGCTGCTTTGTCGGACCCTGCCTTTTTGACTGGCTCCTGAGCCCTGCTCCGCTGACTTGTACCCAGATCCTGCCTTCCTGACCTGTTCCTGCCTCTTGGCTGTGACCACTAGGTCTGACTGCCCAAGCCCCAGTTGTGACATTTCTAAGGGGAGTCTGTGCAGGGTCTCATGGGCTCATGGTAGTCTGTGTTCTTGAGGAAATGGACTGTGGCGTTCTGTACTAGTTGGAGTTTTCTAAGGGCTGAAGGCTTCATGCCCAGGTCTATCACACTGCTGTCATCAGATGAGTGGTGATGAAGGTGTGAATAACTGAGGCCAGGTGATTGTCTGCCAGGAAGGCATGAGTGGGCTTGCCAGCTGGAGGTGGGAGAAAGCACGACTCATGGAAGCTGCATTGTGTCATGTATTTCCCCTGCTCGACCTTTACCAATTCCACAAATCTTATTGATTCCAGTGCAGCCCCTCCTGATTTACACCAGATTGCTTCAGAGTAATGTGGGTGTAATCAAGATCTGAATGAGCTCTCCCATGACATCTAGTGATGGGCTGAGGAAGAGGACTTCAGGAGCTGACTTTAGAATCATAGAATCATAGAAGATTAGGGTTGCTAGAGACCTCAGGAGGTCATCTAGTCCAACACCCTGCTCAAAGCAGGACCAACCCCAACTAAATCATCCCAGCCTGGGCTTTGTCAAGCCTGACCTTAAAAACCTCTAAGGAAGGAGATTCCACCACCTCCCTAGGTAACCATTCCAGTGCTTCACCACCCTCCTAGTGAAATAGTGTTTCCTAATATCCAACCTAGACCTCTCTATGACAGACCCCCCCATAAAGCTTTATGAAAATATGCTTATGAATATATATATGATGTATCTGGAATATGTTTCATGCTACATATGCCATGTAACATATCTATGTAAAGGTTATGATCTACTGAATATATTCATCCTATTTGTATGCATGTGCCATTGTTGTATTTGAAGTTATGAATACTGGCTGTATACTTGTTTGATTTTAAATAACCTAAGTAAAGCATTTGGTCAGCTTCTTTAGAAGGGAATTTGCAAGTTAAGTGCCCAATCAAGAAGCACTTAATGCACAATGGATCTTGGAAGGCTCCAATCCACATAAGAAGTCTACCTGAGGACGTTCAAGGTAGCATGTAAGCAATGGCTGCTGCCTGTAAAAACTGAGTCATGCATGGACATGTGACTTGCCCATGTGACTCCAAAACTCCATCTTGGAGCTGGACTTTGCATAGGAGAGAGGAGCGGGTCTCCACCTACAAGAGAAAGTCTGTTTAAGCCTGTGGGAGACCCCTCCATTTGGTCTTCAGCTGGCTAAAGAGATAGCCTCTCCACCCCCAAGGATACCTGAAAGAAACTGGAACAAAGGACAGTAACTACAGGGGGTGTGAGTTATTGCTAGACCCAGACTAGAAGGAGACTAGCCTGTAAAAGGAAGCTTACTGGAACTCCTCTGAGGGTGAGGTTTTACCTGTTCTCTTAGAAATAGACATAGACTTGCATGTTCTATTTTATTTTGCTTGGTAATTCACTTTGTTCTGTCTGTTACTACTTGGAACCACTTAAATCCTACTTTCTGTATTTAATAAAATCACTTTTTACTTATTAATTATCCCAGAGTATGTATTATACCAGGGCAGGTGGGGGGGCAAACAGCTGTGCATACCTCTCTATCAGTGTTATGGAGGGCAAACAATTTATGAGTTTACCCTGTATAAGCTGTATACAGGGTAAAACGGATTTATTTGGAGTTTGGACCCCATTGGGAGTTGGGCGTCTGAGTGTTAAAGACAGGAACACTTCTTAAGCTGCTTTCAGTTTAAGCCTACAGCTGTTAGGGGACATGGTTCAGACCTGGATCTGGGTTTGCAGCAGGCTAGCGGGTCTGGCTCAAGCCAGGCAGGGTTCCAATCTGGGAGGGTAGGGAAAGCAGGGGCAGAAGTAGTCTTGGCACATCAGTTGACAGCCCCAAGGGGGTTTCTGTGATCCAACCCATCACACTCTCCCACTGCAACTTGAGACCATTGCTCCTTCTTCTGTCATCTGCCACCACTGAAAACAGCTGAGCTCCATCCTCTTTGGAACCCCCCTTCAGGTAGCTGAAAGCTGCTATCAAGTCCCCCCTCACTCTTCTTTTCTGCAGATTAAATAAGCCCAGTTCCCCCAGCCTCTCCACATAAGTCATGTGCCCCAGCCCCCTAATAATTTTCGTTGCCCTCCGCTGGACTCTCTCCAATTTTTCCACATCTTTTCTATAGTGGAGGCCCCAAAACTGAATGCAATACTCCGGTTGTGGCCTCACCAGTGCTGAATAGATGGGAATAATCACTTCCCTCGATCTGCTGTCAATGCTCCTACTAATGCAGCCAATATGCCATTAGCCTTCTTGGCAATAAGGGCACACTGTTGACTCATATCCAGCTTCTTGTCCACCGTAATCCCCAGGTCCTTTTCTGCAGAACGGCCGCTTAGCCAGTCGGTCCCTAGTCTGTAGCGGTGCATGGGATTCTTCCGTCCTAAGTGCAGGACTCTGCACTTGTCCTTGTTGAACCCCATCATATTTCTTTTGTCCTGATCCTCTAATTTGTCTGGGTTACTCTGGACCCTATCCTTACCCTCCAGCTTATCTTCCTCTCCCCCAGCTTATTGTCATCCGCAAACTTGCTGAGGGTGCAATCCATCCCATCATCCAGATCATTAATGAAGATATTGAATAAAACTGGCCCAAGGACTGACCCCTGGGGCACTCTGCTTGATACTGGCTGCCAATTAGACATGGAGCCATTGATCACTACCCATTGAGCTCGACAATCTAGCCAGCTTTCTATCCACCTTATAGTCCATTCATCCAGACCATACTTTTTTAACTTGCTGGCAAGAATACTGTGGAAACTGAATCAAAAGCTTTGCTAAAGTCAAGGTATATCACGTCCAGTGCTTTCCGCATATCCACAGAGCCAGTTATCTCATCATAGAAGGCAATCAGGTTGGTCAGGCATGACTTGCCCTTGGTGAATCCATGTTGACTGTTCCTGATCACCTTCCTCTCCTCCAAGTGCTTCAAAATGGATTTCTTGAGGACCTGCTCCATGATTTTTCCAGGGACTGAGGTGAGGCTGACCAGTCTGTAGTTCCCTGGATTCTCATTCTTCCCTTTTTTAAAGATGGGCACTATATTTGCCTTTTTCCTATTGTCCGGGACCTCCTCCGATCGCCACAAGTTTTCA